TTTATTTCAGTAAAATAAATAATAACAAGCAATTATAAAGCTGTTTAAGAATTTATTAATATGAAAGGAAATTTGTTCCAAAAGATGCTGATGTATTTAGCTTATAATATTATCCTTGTTAATTTTATCTGACCTATGTTTATGCTGACATGGAAGTACATAAATTAAAATTTAATAACAAAATCGTTAATAATTACCTTTTAGAAGTATACTATTGCACATAAAAATCTTAAGGTCTGCTATGTTAGTAAGATGGAATTCTAATTAATGATCTCTGTAGATGTAAACATGTAAATGCATGTTTAACATATCGGAAGATAATTATTTGAAACCTTTATTTCGAATTTCTTTATTACTAATTACATTTTTGTATCACCATTGAGCTATGTTATGACCAGGCATGTAAACAGTTTAATGAAATTTTGAATCTATATTTCTTTCCATTTTATATCCACTCACAAAACATCCCAATTAATCATCTAACTAAACTGTTCATTAACGTAGAGATGATTTTTAGATGAAAGATACAAGTTTTCATCCTAACTTTAGACAGACTCTACTTACGCTAGAACAAACTTATTTGTCAAAACGATTTATAAGAGTGTTATATAAGATCATGCCTGTTTCTATTTGTATTGAACACTGCATTGCAAACAATGCGAACTATTACATGATTCTAGACGTCATGAAATTGGTAATAAGCAAATAAGTAATGTGTAAATAAAAATACTAGTAGGTTGAATGTATCCAAAAATTATTTTATATATTTTGCAGTTAAATTGTATTACTAACAATAAAGCAAATTAATATATTCCTCCTTTATATTTCCACACTTGTGTCTTTGGATGACATCGGGATTTTTCAATAACGAACATTGCAAAATACAACATATTTCTTAATGCATTCTATGTGCTATCACTGGAAAATAAATAGTGATTTTTCTTTGTATATTTAATGGGAAAGGAAAGTGAGTGATTGTTTATGTGTATATGTATGTCCTAGCTGAGCAAACATAACACCTTCATTTGATAACATTGCCACCTTATCGCACCTGCCGTAAGTCGGGTGATTAGTCATGTTGACCGTGCTCTGCAACCATATCGCTCTCGTTTGCGATATTATTCTTATTCTTTCTATAAAAAAAATATGTTTTCTATGATAATGGTTACTGTTTTCCAACTAGACTGCAAAGCACTCTTGCGTTTACATTCACTCTTTTGATGACCTGCAGAGCTGTTGATTAATCAATCAGATTTGTTAACATACTCTACATGAGCTTTCGATACAAGCGCACGACAGAGGTAACGGATATTTCACAGCATGTCGTGGAGATAGGCGAATGTATCGCTTAATTCTTGGTTGCGAAAATTGTTTTAAGGTTTAAATACTTTTCTAGTTTCTTTCTTCTTTCTCTCCCTCTCTCTCTCTCTCACACACACACACACACACACACACACACATTATCTGAATAAGAATAATAATTTCAGGTTTTAAGATTTTTATACTCGGGTCTTTTTGAATAATGGCATACATCGACTCCACTGCTCACTTGTATGTTGACAGTTCTTATAATCCGTTTCTACACATTTTTCATGCTTTATTGACACTGTCTATAATGTATATTCGAAGTGATTTGAGTATAGTTCATCCACAGAGAGTATAATTTAGCCTTGAAGTGTTTGGGGTATAATTTAGCATTGGAGTAATTGGAGTATAGTTTAATTTCGCCTCGAAGTGTTAAGAGTATAATTTATCCTCTGAGTGTTTGCAGTCGATGACCTAATGTAACATAAAACATGTCGGCAGCTGCAAGAGCCAGTTAGCACAAGCCTCTTTATGTTTATATTTAATATTACGTATACAGTATTTATAATTTGAGGTTTCATCACAGTGGACAAGTGAAAGAAACTTGGCGCATCTGTTTTGTCATTCTCTTTGATAAACTAGATAATAACAAAAAAACTGATCTGCAATTTCTGAATTTATAAGGCGAACAGTGAAATGATTAGAGACTCAGACCGCACTATGACATCTAACAGCTGTTTATGGGCACATTGGTATATTTGTGCACCATTTCGCAAAAGACTTTTTCAAAATTGGTGTTCAGACCACACAAACAACTCTTCCACTCAGGTATCTTTTCATTCAATGACTCCAATGCCCCTATTTCACACTATACTTTACTATTGTCTCCTCTGCGGTGAAAATGTGGGATCATAAAACTTTTTAAAAAACCGAGGATCTTAATAAAATCAACAGTCAATAAATTGTTAATACATCTTTTTATTTGAGTAAGAGAGATTATTTTATTTAATAAGTTCTTCCACTTCCTTGTGATGAAATATTATTTCTTTCGATATAAATAAACTGCTGACATTATCATTTCTTTCATGTTGCATTGTCTATTTTGAACATATGTGCGAACGAAAAATGACGCAAGTTTCAATGCGAGGCAAATGTTGAGAAATTTTAACATCGGAGTCTCGTACACGGTTTGGTTATTCAGACTACTCTTCGAACTACCTCACACCTTCAACGACAGAATAATCAACAAATACAAAAAAAAACAACATAATAGATAATTGCCGATAAAAAGGACCACCATTACCCATTTTGCATAGACCATGTTGGAGAAATGCGTTCAAAATGTTAAATCAGATTTATAATTTCAAAATGACTGGCACTGAAAAGAATGCAAACAGCTAGCATTGTATGCTAGCAAACAAGGAAGTATAAATTTGTTATGGTGGATTTGCTCATATATATATATATCTGTTTGTGTGTGTGTATGTGTGTGTGTATGTGTATGTGTGTGTATGTGCTACTACAGTTACTATCTACCTATCTATTTATTTATCTATGTCATGGCCACGGACAGAACTTGTGGGCCTGAGGAATACATTCTCTTTTAGGACTCTATGAATTACAAATGAATTCTTCTCTTTATCGGTGGGCTCTCTGGCTGTCATGGCCCCCAAAATTTATCCAAGACGACATCGAAAGCAAGCATAATATTTCACGGATTCAGTAGAAAACTTTAAGCTTATTAGAATAATGTCAAATTTAATGCTATTCTGCTTACAACATCCATTTCAGAAAACATTTGCTCTCAAATCGCAAGTATTATTTTATGTAATCGTATCGTGACTGTCAGTACATAGTACGGAGATAATTAATGATATAACTTTTAATGGCAAAATTAGCAGAAAGTAATTCGGTCACGCATGTTTTCAACAGAGAACGCTTCTTTGAGTGATTGGCAAGGATACATCTGGTAATAAGAAGTTAAATTCATTATCAGTTTGCGTCTATGCATTTATAGTAGGTCGTCTGAAAACATAGTCGCATACATCACAAAACTCCACATAAATCTGCTGAATCGATATGATAAAAGACAAGGAATAGATATGAGTAACGTAACAATACCCCATTCACAATGATAATGACGATGATAATTTCCATTGTTCATATCTGATAATTGGATAATGGCATGTGTCTGTACAACAAAATTTACTTCGCAGCAGTGATGGAAGAAGTTGTATCGCTGCAGCTGTGGCAATAAAAATTGTATGGCTGCAACAGTGGCAAAAAAGTGACGATAAATTGGTATCGTTGCAGTGGTGATAAATTTATGTGGTACTGCTATCGCAGCTGCCATAAAATGACTGCGATAAATTTATTATTACCAGTGAGGAGATATCCTCTCTGGAACATGTTTCTTTTCCCAATTTTTTAAATATATCTGCTCTCCATGATGAATCCATAAATTCTTTTCCCTCACAGTAGTCTCATAATGAGAGTTTTAGAAAATACTTACCTCTCACGACTACCCAGCCCAGAATCCTTCTAGTTTCCAATACGTTTTCCTCAATGAGATTTTTTTTTTACATCCGCGTGCATCCACATGGAAGCTTCGCTTCTCAAGCCCGCTTCAGTCCTGTGGCAGCCTGTGTGATGCTATAGGTACTTTAACGAATGCTCCGGTGGCCTAGTGGACGCGGGAGGTCACGGGTTTGATCCCCGCCGATGTGATACCAAATACTTTTAGAAATGGTACTAACAGCTGCTTCACTTGTCGCTAAGCATTAAAAAGTTAGTGGTAGGACTGATCGGCTTGGTGTCAGGATAATATTACTTGGAGGGAAGATAATATGACTGGGTTGGACATCATGCTATAGGTATGTGGCATGATGCCCCAATGCTCGACATCACTAAAAACTGTCACACTGTATACATCGTATCAATATGACTACAACATTTATAGCTAAGTTAAAAATCCAAATCATACGCGCACACACACACATACATAAACAAGTTCTTATTAGTATAACAAAAAATAGTGTGTCACTTGATAGATTAAGTGAACTTGTAACCTAACATTAAATATATCTGTTTATGGTTCAGATACCAAACGAGAGGAGAAAACGAAGAAAGCAGAATCAACCCAAAATATACAAATCGAGGATATATTACATATTAAAGAATACAATCTTCGTTTATATATAGGAACAACGATGGAATTGTGAAGTAATAGATGTAAAGATGTTTCAAAAACGGTAATTTGTAACAAAACATGCTATTACCGATGCTGTAATTCCCACTCGCTCGTGTTAGGTATTGACTCGCGTGCAGGGCTATGTCTTAAAAGTGGTATCGGAGTCAAGTCTCGTAATCAATGTTCCTATGACATTTTTAGATTAATACATTAGAGGCTGCAGAATACTAGAGGCAATCAACACCTTCAGTGTTGAAAATGTTTTGAAATACCATTAGAGCTTATTCAAAACTTTATTAATTAGAACTTGTGTTAGAAATTTTAAGATTCTTTGCAATTTAATTTCCAATATCGTAAGTTAGTTTTACATTTTTACTTCGTATTCTATGGAAAAATATTAATTGTGAAATTTTACAAAGCTCGTTGATTCTCACTCTTTTCTATTACTTATTTTAAGACTGTAGAGTCGTAATGGTTGCCAAAAAAGCAATTAGACAATGATTACGACCGCTCAGGTGGCCTAGTGGTAAGAGCGTCTGCCTAGAATGCGGGAGGTCGTGGATTGGATCCCTTGCAGAGTCATACCAAAGACTAACTGATACTAAAAGCTGCCTCGCTTGGCGCTCAGCATAAGGAGGTTAGTGTTAGAACTGGTCGGCCTGGTGTCAGGAAAATGTGATTGCGTGGGACATCATGTTATATGCCTGCAGTATGAGAAAGGTAAGCATATTTATATTATTTTAACTTCCTTCAGATGAACCAATCCTAGATGTGAAACAAAGCCACATCTGGTTGTGAGGAAAACTGTAAATTAACTCAAACAATCCGCACGAGAACGTGGAAGAAGGATATCGCGGTGTACACCAGAGACACATATTCTTAGATGATCCAGTTTCTGACAGCTATGCAACACATGAAACAGTGGCACAGTTATATGTCAAAGATCATACTCGAACCGGGCGGGCTGAAATCGAATATGTGGTTGAGGATGAGAGAGATGCCACCAAGGAATCACAGCTACCATTGCCGTTAAAATTAGTACACAATCACGTCAAGTCCAGGTTTCAGAGTTGAAGATGCACAGGCGATCACAAGATTTACAAGTTTATTGGGTAATTATTCCAGACGTGAACACTTTTCTTCGTACTGAGTTGATGATGCCGCTTAACCTGCAGAAAGCCTAGATTCATCAGACGTTAAGGTGCTAAAAAGCCACATTCCATGGTTGAAAAGTGTTAGATTTTATGTCTTGAATCGTGAAGATACCGAGGCCATTAATATTGAAATCCGTAAAGCTTTTGCAAAGATTCTTAAGAAATTGGCAAAATTACATCAATGCAGGTTCGAAATGGACTATTGCCAAATATGCAAATGTTCAGCGTCATATTTCCCATGATGTTCCTACACTTGGTGTCGCGTAAGACCGTAACTTCTTCATCACTGGTAGTGTCACTAGCTTTCGGCAATCTCGCTTTGTGCAGAAGACACCAGTCAATCGACTGAATAACATCTCTACCGATCTGCTCATGCTTGTATACTGTACAATCTTTATTCCTACCCGAATAATCACGAATAAAATAGTAACGCTTGTCGCCTCCTGACGTCTAACTACTGTACTTTCCACAGCGGTTGCTACTCTTTGGATAAACCCCTTTCGTTTCGAACAATCGGGCAAGATGTGACACCACTCCTTACATGTGTAACGTTCTTTACTCTTACAAACAGGACCATGTCCAAACTTTAAACTTTATTACCTCTCGCAGATTGGTTTGTAATACGAACTGAATTACTTAATAATTTGTAATTTTTATTAATCATCACTTATGTTTATTGCCTCATATATCTGATAAAGTACAATTATGAAAATTTGGTGGGAATGAATATAAACATTACTGCTTTTATCATAAATATGACTATTTCTTACTGAACCACATGGTATTCATAAAGTATTATTTTCTGTTATGTATACAGTTCTATTTTCAATATTTATTCCATTTTCATACTATTCCGCATATATATATATATATATATATATATATATATATATATATATATATATATATATATATATATATATATATATATATATATTGGTATTCAATTTTTGTTCCGTTGTAATTGCAGTTCTATTTATCTTCTAGTACATTTTATATAGTTACTTCTAACTGTAATATTATATGCTTATTATTGTGTTAATATCTACGTCTATAGTTACTTCTAACGGTAATATGTTATGCTAATTATCGTGTTAATATATACGTCTATAGTTACTTCTAACGGTAATATAATATGCTAATTATCGTGTTAATATATACGTAAATAGTTACTTCTAACAGTAATACGATATGCTTATTATCGTGTTAATATATACGTCTATAGTTACTTCTAACGGTAATACGATATGCTTATTATCGTGTTAATATATACGTCTATAGTTACTTCTAACGGTAATACGATATGCTTATTATCGTGTTCATATATACGTCTGCACCATACCATTATAGATTAAAAACTTATTATTTGTTGATGTTATATTAAACCATGAATATCATACCTCTGACCTTTTCAGTGCTTTTCAACGGCAATGTTGAGCTAAGAAAAATTGACATAAGCATTGTAGATTGCACCATAAACTGCATTTTCAGACTTTACCAAAGGTGGTGTTACATGCACCGCTGATCTCTAGTAGAAGTATACACTGTCACAGTTGTTGAACATAGTTTCATGCTCAGCCTTGCTTATTATTGTATACTGATTGGTTTGTATACCTATATTGTCTACTTATATGTTATTCATGAATTTAGATTTTAGTTTAAAGTAATGATCATTTGCAAAAATATGTTTAGATATCTAATTTTTGTCCATGACTATAGATTATATTTTAAGATAATAAAACATGTTATCATGGCCTTTTGACTAAAGAATGTTCTGTAAGCGAACTTATGACCCGTATCCTGGCCATCCAATTGTGTCGTACATTTTTTTTTATATAAGGCAGAAAAAAACAAACAATATTCATTCGTATCTTAATATCACTTAGGAGAATCACCTTTCTTGTGTTCAGATATAGACAAGGAATTATTCAGATAATTAATCGTAATTAATGAAATACACATTGACATGACTACCGCTATTTTAGGATTACTGTAAATTTATTTATATACATTCTGAATATATCATTTTAATACATTTTAACGAAAGGGTGGATTTTTTTAAAATATTTAAAACCTCATTAATTGAGATGGCGTTCGTTATACGAGGGAATGACTTGCCACGATGTTATTGCCCAGTATAGACGGATATATGGAACTTTAACAAATGGCTGAGCAAGCGATGGAAATAAACAAACTATGATCCCCTTTTCCAATAAAAAATAAATTTAATCAATTAGTACATCAGCAAAACTTCACTTTCAGCTAATACATAAGATTTACAATAAATAAATGTAATCAATTAATGCATAACCAAAATATTTACTTTCAATCCAAGGGATTCACATTCATAGAATTTCAATTTACATCATATTACTAACTGTGAATTCTGAGTTAAATTCTACGTTTAGGAGCATTACCTAGCGTCTGTCTCCTCTCGTCAGGTTTCCACGTCTAATACGTGTGCTTTGGTGCTCTTTGCGACTCCTGTTTATGTCCTTCCTCTCTTATATGTGGATTTTCCCTTGTCTCTCTCTCTCTCTCTCTCTCTCTCTCTCTCTCTCTCTCTCTCTCTCTCTCTCTCTCTCTCTCTCTCTGTATATATATATATATATATATATATATATATATATATATATATATATATATATATATATATATATATATATATATATATATATATATATATATATATTTGATTCAGAAATTACTTCTCTAATGAATGCAAACTATTGTGTTTATAGTTGTTTCTACGTCATTTTTTTAATTTGAAGTAATTCTCCAAATCTATTCTGAATTGAATCTCACAGTGCTTTAATAATTTGAGACTGCAATATCTCGAATACCTGTTGTAGCTGGCATTTTATCTATACTATAATTAAAATTAGTACCAATTATCTAACTTTGACTTTGCCTTTTAATTTGATCAGCAATGTAAAATTTTGGAAATTAATATATTTTATACCTATCATCCTCAGTGGCTTTATTGTTTTTTGTTATGTAAGTTAACCTTCATTCAAATGTAATGTGCCACTCATTTTCTGGCCAGCTTGCATTACTGATCTTGTATTATTGCAACTCAGATTCAGTATCAGCTTATTGTTCATCGTGAACAGCAACTGTCTCAAAAAACTCTTTATTTTTATTCTTCTTTTTACATGTGTTTCGGTCCATAAATTATTCCTCAATTACTTCCATTTGTACCATATCTAGCAACCTATAAATTTAGCCCTCAGCTTAACACAACATTGTCTGAACGATTATTATTAAGTATTTTGGTCGCATCATATTTCGTTGTGCTTGCAACATTTCCTAACTTGTCTAAGATTGTCTTTCGAGAAGAAATATTTCATGTTCAAGGTTGCTGCACTATCAGTATCATTTAAGCTGGCTGACAAATCTCCTTAAATTACAACACCACTTTTTAACATTTCCATAATTCTTCATCAGCTTCTTGAAATGTCTTATTAATATTTTGTCATAAATGTTTTACATGTGTTCTTTGGTGCTACGTCATTTACACTAACGGTTTAGTCCAATTTGGCAACTGTATTGTTGTTTATATCTCGATTTTAAACCACTTCAGTAGAACTAGCCTACATCCCTCGTTTGGCGCTACTCTTGGGCTAGACATGACTGTTCAAGACAAGACCATGATTCCCAATCGGTGCTAAGCTAATCCTAGCATTACCGTGTATTCTGGGCTGATCCGAACTCAATTAGAATTGGGGATATGCTGATCCCAGCTCAGGTAAAATCAGTGCTAGGCTGCTCCCAGCATTTGATTTTATCTTAGGCTGATCCCAGCTTAAGATAATCTATTTTCTAAGCTGATCTAAGCATAATAGTGTATTCTGGTGGGCGTTTATATTTATCGATGGGATATGACTGGACCTACCCAAGACAAATAATACTATATGTTCACATAATTATGGTAAACTGCTGATCACATTTTTGTAGAGGTTCCGATAAGCGTTATCGCTGTCACTGTTTGGCCCGATTGAGGTCAGCCACTTGCAACACTGTTGCCAATGTCCAGGACAGTGATGTCACCATCCTATTGTCCCTAGACAAACCCAACTAATGTTCAACTTTCCACTATAAAACAAACGTTAAATGGTGTTGTGGTGATATTTTTTAAAAGCAGGAACATTTTCTCTCTCTCTCTCTCTCTCTCTCTCTCTCTCTCTCTCTCTCTCTCTCTCTCTCTCTCTCTCTCTCTCTCTCTCTCTCTCTCTCTCTCTCTCTCTCTCTCTCTCTCTCTCTCTCTCTCTCTCTCTCTCTCTCTTAATGAGCTTGTTTCAATTCCTAATGGTATATGTTCCTGTTTTAGGAACCTCTCCAACCTCTCCAACAATGTGATCTATTCTGTTTGTCATATAATTCTTTTTCAATCACTTACACCCTAAAAATTGTAAAGCGATTTCATTC